GGGTTGGCGGTTCGCCTGTAGTCCCAGCTACTCGGAGTGCTGAGGCAGGAGAAGATGGCGGTAAACCCGGGAGGCGGGCTTGCAGTGAGCTGGAGCACCGGCCACTGCACTCCAGCTCTGGGCAACAGATGCCAAGAACTCCGTCACAAAAAAAAAAAAAAAAAAAATGTGCATAAAGCTGGGTGCCGGGTGGTCATGCCTTGTTAATCTATCAGGCCATATGTGATAAGTCAGAAGGCGGCGCAGATCACTTGAAGTCAGGAGTTTGAGACCAGCCTGCGCCAACATGGCAAAATGCCATCTCTACGAAAAATACAAAAATTAGGAGGTGTCATCCCAGCTGCTTGAGGAGGCTGAAGCGGGAGAAATCGCTTGAACCTGGGAGGCGGAGGTGCAGTGAGCCGGATCGTGCCACTGCACTCCAGCCTGGGTGATATGGTGAGACTCCGTCTCAGGGGGAAGAAAAAAAAAAAAGTGCCAAAGAGCTGGGTGGCTTCACCCATAAATGTATTTTCTCAATGCAGGTTTGTGGGGGTGGCTGGAAGTCCAAGACCAAGCTGTGGGCACATTAAAGTTCTTCTGAGGGCCTCTGCTCCTGGGTCTGCAGATCACTGCCTTCTGTCTTCACGTGGTCATCCTGCTGTGTGGGTCTCCACATTTTTTTTTTTAACTTTTTTTTTTTTTTATTTTTAAGACACTGATATGCTCTGTCACCCCCAGCTGAGAGTGCAGTGGCACAATCATGGCTCAACTGCAACCCCAACTTTTGGACTCAAGTTATCCTCTTGCCCCCCAGCATCACGAGTAGCTGGAAAACAAGCGTGCGCAACCACACCCAGCTAATTTTTGTATTTTTTTGGAGGGATGGGGTTTCACCATGTTGCCTACACTGGTCTCAAACTCCTGGCCTCAAGTGTTCCTCCCTCCTCAGCCTCCTTAACTGTTGAGATTACAGGTGTGAGTCACTGTGCCTAGTCAAATTTTTTTTTTATTTTTTAGTTTTTGAGATAGTCTTGCTCTGTAGCCTGGGCTGGAGTGCAGTGACACGATCTCAACTCACTGCAACCTCTGCTTCCCGGGTTCAAGCAATTCTCCTGCCTCAGCCTCCCGAGTAGCTGGGACTACAAGGGTGCACCAGCACACCCAGCTAATTTTAATGTTTTTAGTACAGATAGGGTTTCACTGCATTGGCCGGGCTGGTCATAAACTCCTCTACCCACCTCGGCCTCCCAAAGTGCTGAGATTATAGGCTTGAGCCACTGCATATGACCTTGAATTTCTTTAAGGGCAAACTTTGTGAGTGTATTTGACTACAAAGCAACAAAACATTTTATATTATTCTTGTTGCTTTCCATGACAGGTAAAATTTATCATATACAATATGATATTTTGAAATAAACATATTGGCCAGGTGTGATGGCTCACACTTTCCCAGCACTCTGCCAGCACTTTGAGAGGCCGAGGTGGGAGGATCACTTGAGTCCAAGAGTTCAAGACCAGCCTGGCCAACATGGAGAAACCCCATCCCATCTCTACTAAAAAATACAAAAATTAGTCAGGCGTGGTGCTGGGCACCTGTAATCCCAGTTGCTTGGGAGGCAGAGGCAGGAGAACTGCTTGAACCCAGGAGGTGGAGATTGCAGTGAGCTAAGATCACACCACTGCACTCTAGTCTGGGCAACAAGAGCGAGACTCTGCCTCAAAAAATATATATAAAATATATTAAAAATAAACTCTCTCAGCTAAAAGATAAATATTTTTTCTTTCTTTTTTTTTTGGAGACGGTGTCTTGCTCGTTTCTCAGGCTGGAGTGCAATGGCACGATCTCAGCTCAGTGCAACCTCCGCCTCCCAGGTTCAAGCGATTCTCCTGCCTCAGCCTCCTGAGTAGCTGGAATTACAGGTGCCCGCCACCACACTCGACTAATTTTTTTATTTCTTTAGTAGAGACAGGGTTTTGCCATGTTGGCCAGGCTGGTTTTGAACTCCTGACCTCAGGTGATCCACCCTGTTCAGCCTCCCAAAATGCTGGGATTACAGGTGTGAGGCACCAGGCCTGGCGATAAACTCTTAAAAAAAAAAAATAGCTGGACATGGTGGTGTGCACCTGTTGTCCCAGCTACTCAGGACACTGACGTGGGAGGTTGCTTGAGCCCAGAAGGTTTAGGCCCCAGTGTGTCATGATGGTGCCACTGCACTCCAGCCTGGAAAACAGAGTGAAATGCCATCACACGAGGTGGCTCACACCTGTAATCCCAGCACTTCCGGAGGCCAAGGCGGGTAGATCACCTGAGGTCGGGAGTTCGAGACCAGCCTGGCCAACATGGTGAAACCCCATCTCTACTAAAAATACAAAAATTAGCCAGGCGTGGTGGCACACGACTGTAATCCCAGCTACTCAAGAGGCCAAGGCAGGAAAATCGCTTCAACCCAGGAGGCAGAGGTTATGGTGAGCTGAGATCGTGCCACTGCACTCCAGCCTGGGTGGCAGAGAGACTCTGTCTCAGGGGAAAAAAAAAAAAAAAGCAAAAGAAAACAATCCACAAACCTGGTGCAAAGGACATGACCAGCTCCTTTCTCCTCTTTTCCACCCCAGGCTGAAGAGGTGCCGCATCTCCAGCTCAGCCTGTGAGGACCTCTCTGCAGCTCTCATAGCCAATAAGAATTTAACAAGGATGGATCTCAGTGGCAATGGTGTTGGATTCCCAGGCGTGACGCTGCTTTGCGAGGGCCTGCGGCATCCCCAATGCAGGCTGCAGATGATTCAGTGAGTCTCTATCCCCGAGAGCAACTTCTTAAGCTCATTGTCTCCTGGGGCATGAAATACCACACAATGCTGGTAATCCTCAAATCTCCACCTTTCAATCAGGGCTGGCCCTTAACCCCATGACCTAAGACCCTGGCCCTGGACTCTAGGCTCTTTAGAGGACCTCCTTCTGCCCTCCTCTGACTCCATACTCAATTCCACATGAGGAAGAGTCCCTGGGGCCATCCCCCACCTTTTCTTTTTCTCCCCGGAGACGGGGTCTTGCTATGTCGCCCAGGCTGGAGTGCAGTTGCGTGATCTCAGCTCACTGCAACCTCCACCTCCTGGGTTCAAGTGATTCTCCTGCCTCAGCCTTCCAAGTAGCTGAGATGACAGGCACCTACCACCATACCCAGCTAACTTTTTTGTACTTTTAGTAGAGATGGGGTTTCCCCATGTTGACATTGATTGGACCAGGCTAGTCTTGAACTCCTGACCTCAAATGATCCACCGATCTTAGCTTCCCACAAGTGCTGGAATTATAGGCGTGAGCCACTGCACCCGACCTACAATTTTTTTTTTTTAATCAGCCAGGTATAGGCCAGAAGCAGTGGGTTCACGGCCTGTAATCCCAGCACTTTGGGGAGGCCAAGGTGGGCAGATCACCTGAGGTCAGGAGTTCGAGACCAGCCTGGCCAACATGGTGAAACCCCATCTCTACTAAAAATGCAAAAATTAGCTGGGCATGGTGGTGGGCACCTGTAGTCCAGCCTGTAATCCCAGCTACTTGAGAGACTGAGGTATGAGAATCACTTGAACCCAGGAGGTGGAGGTGCAGTGAGAAAAGATCATGCCACTGTACTCCAGCCTGGGTGACAGAGTGAGACTCACCTCAAAAAAAAAAAAAAAAAAAAAAATTAGGCAGGTACGGTGGTGCACACATGTATTCCAGTTACTCAGGAGGCTGAGGCAGGAGGATCACATGAGCCCGGAGGTCGAGCTTCAGCT